TGCCACTTCCTAGAATAGACAGCCAAACATGATGTGCTCCCTTCAAACAGTGCTCTTCAGTGCCTATACCAATGGGATCATCTTGACTCCTACTATATAAAATGCATTAAGGGTCCACCCCTCCTCCTGTGGAAATAAGGACCCCAATTATCATAAGGGCCAGGCACTCAATTAGAATCACTGGTGTAAATTGGGATAGCAGGATCTCCCCAGTGAACAGCCCGATTTAGAGGCAGCTTTGGAATATAAGCCCAATAAGAAAATTTGGTAGCAATGGTTGGTTACCTGTACAGTAGGTATTGCAAGCATAGCTAAAAGTAAAGTTTCAGGATTTTGATTTTGCCCTAGGGGTTGAACCATGCAATCTCCTTCAATGGCTAATTTCTTCAGTTTACCCCAGGTGGGAAGGGTAGAATTAGTAGAAGGCAATGGTCTGGCCACCTTCCATGTGGTCCGGCCCAAGGTAAAACAAGCCATTCATTCAGTGGCCAGGTCAGGATTGAAGCATGGGCATTTGTTCATCTCAAAACTTTATGAGATGGTCTGGGATCCAAAATTGATCTGGACCTGTGGAAATAGAAGCATAACCTTTTCCCCATTTTATCACATGTGCTCTGTGCCAATTGTTTGTAGCAATATCCTTGTACCATATAGGCTGTAAAGATTCTGTTTCTTTTATGCAGGGCCATTGCATTTCTGAAGCTGTAAAATCTTGAACATTGTGATTCAAAAAATTTAGGGTAAATAAAGCATCTAATAATATATATTGAGGGGGGTTATCATTTCCCCCCTTTCATTTAATTAACATTTTTTTTCAATGTCCCATTGGAACACTCAATAATGGCTTGTCCTTGTGGATTTTATGGGATCCCAGTGACATGCCTGATATGCCATTGAGAAAAAATGATTGAAATTTTTGAGATGGATAAGTTGGAGCATTATCAGTTTTTAACTGTTTAAGAACTCCCGTGATATTCGTGGCTTCTTTTAAATGTAATATTACAGAAGAAGCCTTTCCATTTGGTAACGCAGTTGCCTATTGAAAAGTGGAATAAGTATCAATAGTATGATGAGTATATTTCAGGTTTCCAAACATTTTAACATGCATGACATCCATTTGCCATATTTCATTAATTTGTGACCCCCACAGGTTCAGACCACTAGGCAGAGGACGGTTGTTAATTAGTTGACAAATGTCACATTGCCTTACAATAGTCTTAGCCAGTCTTTGTAGAATGCTGAATTGGTGAACCAACACTCTCTGACTAGCATGTGTGTCTCGAAAGTTAATTGTATCAGTAAGATTATTACAGGGATATAGATGATGTTGTAACATTTCATCTATTTTCCTATTAGTGTCTCTCATAGGTCCAGGAAGATTAGTATGAGATCTAATATGAGTAATAAATAGTGGAAATTGCCTTAGAAGTAACTCTTTCACTCATTTCTTGAGCCCCACATTTGGGTGCCAGCTGCAGAGGCTCAGAACTGCTTGTGGATGGCAGAATGAATGAAGGCGAAGGACTCAGCTCTATGGTGGAGCACAGTGAGTTTAATTCTAAGAGTGGCTTTATTATGCATAGTGAACAGGTCAGCCAAGGATACAGCATGCAAAATATGAGTCAAGAAAAGTACAAGGTAAAATATTTTCTTTTCTGTTACTAACCAAACCCTTTCCCAGAGCTCCAGTTCTTGAGAAAGGAAAACACAAGCCCAACCACTATTATTCTTACTATCCCAAAGCAGTGTTCCACCCTTGACTTGGGAAGGCAGTATTCTGCCCCTGACCAAGCATCCTCTTGTTTTCAAGCGACAGCTGGACTCTATCTTGTCCTTAGTTCACTTTCTGCAGAACTGATTTCCTTCAAAAGAGTCAGCGATCCTTGGAAGAAATCCCGAGCAAGCTCCCCACAAAATATTACTGTCTCGGGGGAAGGTGGAATTCTTGATCAGGTTCATTTTCTCCACCAGTTCAAGAATTAAAAGGCAAGAAAAATCTCAGACACAGCAGACAGCAACAGGTAACAAACTTTATTAAAGAAACACACGTACAGAGAGAGAGAGAGAGAGAGAGAGAGAGAGAGAGAGAGAGAAATTGCTCCACAAGTGGACAGGGGAGTCAGATACTGAAAAATCCAAAGTTCCCAGGAGGGCTTAGGTCTTTTCAATGTTTTGGGTGGTATGGGACAGGTCCTCACCCCCTAATTTTGGATTGGTCAACTTAAAAAAAAAGAAGAGACAGTCCATAGTTCACAGCTCTAAGCTGCGTGAGATATGTCAAGGTCTGGCCTTGGTCTTATCCTAAATTGGTCTGGACTGGAAAAGGGGCCCTGCTAGGCTAGGTGGCGGGAGGTCCCTCAGGCCTTTGTCTCAGAACAAGAAGAATCAGGAAGTGTGCCATTTTTATTGCTCATTAGTGACCCTGTCCATTAATCATGAAGTTAGTCCTCACCTTTTGGCAGCAAGACCTCATAGAGGAGGCTGCATAATATCTCCTTGTCTCTACTTGATGTTATAATTACACAGTGGGGTGGGCTGGAGAGATGGTTCAGTGGTTAAGTGGTTCAGTGGTTAAGATGGTTCAGTGACTGCTCTTGCAGAGGAGCCAGGTTTGGTTCCCAGCACCCACAGGAATCAATTGCCTGTAACACCAGTTCCACTGGATCAACAGGGCATTGCATAACACAGGTGTACTTACATGCATGCAGGCAATATACTCATACACATAAAATAAAAAACAGTTACACAAGTGGGCTCAAATGTTTTTGGTTTGATTCATCTATTACAAAAATTTTGTGCTTGTCTGTTCGTCTGATGATCTTAGCAGCTCCTGAAGTATTGCCTATATTCATTATTTCATTAAAGGTTGCAAAATGAAAAACATATCATTCTTTTGTCAAGTAGTGCTATAAAGGAGAACTGTTATCCTAAAGCATGATTTATATAAAAAAGGCTTTATTCTGCTTTCAATTCTCTCCTAGGCAACTTTGGAGGAAACCAGATACTTTTTCTCTCCATGTGTCACTATGATCTTATACTTTTAAAATATTTAATTCAATCATTTGGAAGGGATTCTTTTTTTTTTTTCCCTTTGAGACATGATCTTAATAATGTAGCCCCAAGTGCCATGGAGTTCACTATGTAGACCAAGCTGGTTAGAATCTGTGATAGTGATAATCCAGGTCCTACCTCTGCTTGGGGAATGTTTGGACAGGCGCACACCACCATGCCTGCCGATTATTCCTTTCCTGTATTTGGCCAGTAGGATTGTTTTTAAGTTAGCTGTTGTGCCATAACCCCATTTTTTTTTTCTGGTTTCTTTACATTCTGGTAGGGCATGATATTGTATGCTTATGTTGTATATTTTCTTCCCTAGATCTGAAATCAGCCATTTTTCCACAAAGTCCTGGTTCTTTTTAGGAGGAAACAGTTTTATTTGGGCTCAGTGCTATTGGGTCAGTCTCTGATTATAGTCCTCCAACAACACCACCAAAACACATCGTTATATTCAGGTTGGCTTTTTTGTTCTTCTTAGGAAAGCCCACCCTCAAATTTTGAGCTCTCAATTTATGGAACCCCCCCCCCCCCAATTCAATGCTCGTCTTGTGTCTTTGCTGTCTGTGAAGTCAAACTTAACAGAAGTTAACATTTTATTTTTACACCTTCCAAGTTAACACTCTGCCCTTTCCTTAGCTTTTTGCCAGACTCCTTTGTGTTACACTTGGCTCCAGGAAAAAGGAACTGCAGATTGTTAGTCATCAGCTGAGTTCTAGTCAGAAGAATCAAACAGGTTCACTTCACAGGAATAAGATTGTATTCTTATGCTAGAGAAAAAGGAGCCAGCATGTGGGGAGAGATAATCCAAAGGTGACTCAGATATTATAAAGGTACAAAGGGCCTGCTGTCTTGGTATCCTCACAGGTAAAAGGTGGCCCTCCAGTCACTCCTGAGCTCTCCCTGTTCTGTGTCTCTGGTCTCATAATGGTTAAATCCCCATTTGGGGATGTGATTTTTTTTTTTAGTATTATATAAGGTAAGGCAGTCTACTGTAGTACACCACAGTGACCATTCTAACCTAACTCATGTCCCACGCTAGGTCAAACGTCACTACTATTATTTCAGAGCAAGGGAAGTTAATTAATGCCTTAGTTAATTAGCTTATAAGTACTGCTGTGTGGATTTTGATGCCAGTGTACTTGGCAACTTGTTTTTTCATTTCTGTTTGCTTTTCTGAGTCTCCTATTTCTGAGAGGCTTGGTAACCATATAATTTTGAAGATAGAGACATGGTAGGCTTTGTCTCCCAACATTTGCTGGCCTCTTAGATGCCGCATATGTCAAGATGAGCTGTTTCCTTGGGGAGGGGAGGGCTGAGAATAGGGTAGCCCTTGGATTCCTTGATTGTGAAACAAGAGCATGGATTCAGGACTCGGTGACAGACACATGCATCTAAATGTTCATGCCATGCATAATAAATTATACACGATTTGGAGATTGGACCTAGGACCTTGCACATGTCAGGCAAGTGCTCTGCCGCTGAGCTCCTTTTCTCAACTCTTTGTTTTTACTTAAAACTCCCTGTTTTTACTTTAAAAAAATTCTAGCGAGGGTCTTCTGACTAAGATGTTCAGAGTGGCCTTGAACTCATTCAGTAGTCTAGTCAACCCTTAAACTCACACTCCCCCAACTTCAGCCTCTAGACTAGCTGGGTTTACAGGCCTGAGCCACCAGACCCTGCTAAATTATATAGTTTTCCTTTTTGTAAGGAGAGTGGCGCGCACCCCTTCTGAAATTCCTGTCCTTTATGTAGCCCCCTCCGAGGCCTGGAACCTTTGTTTAACTCTTGGGCTATACAGGGAAGTTTTAGGCGGGGATACCTGTTACAAACCAACCAAGCAATTATCCGTGTGGGGGCAGGAGTAGCAAAAGGGGCAGGGGGCGGGACCTTCGGGCAACGGGGCGGGGCCTTCTGAGGGGGCGGGGCCGAGGCCCGGGCGGCCCTGGGGCAAGCGGGTAGGTGGCCCAGGGCTGCTGCTCTCCACGGGCGGACGCCAGCAACCCCTGCGCGTCACTCACAGTCTCTCTTTCCTGCCAGCTCGCAGCTCACCGCGCCCTCAGTTCTGGTGTTCCCGTCCCTCCATCTCCCCAGCCCTGCTGCAGGCCCTTCGCCGGGACTTGGTGTTAGAGAGCTGCCGGCCTTCCCGAGTCCGGGTGGGGACCTAGCCGCGTTCCGCCGGGAGAGACACCGCGCAGCTGGGTCTGGCGCAGGTGAGCTGGCGTGGGTGGAATCTGGGTCTGTGGGGACAGGTTCAGAACACCATCCGCGCTTAGGAAATGCAGCCATAAGGGCATGAATACTGGGCCAGAGCCAGAGACTGACAGCTGGTGAGCGTTCTTGCTGTTCTATTTTTGTTTTCTTGCCACTGGAGCCAAGCTTGAAGCATAGTTTAACTGTGGTATTGAAGTGGGAACGGACACTAGGAAACCCCTTCTTACTGCCGAGGGATCTGTAGGTGGCCCAAAAGTCCCGAGGTGGGCTTTATGAATTTTGCAATTTGGTCTAGGTTTACAACTGAGTGGCCTGATCCAAGGTTTTCCTTCTCCAGCAGAAGGCAGACTTCAGAGCCTATGCTGCAATGTACTGTATCTCCCCTAGCAGGACAGCAGGAAGACTTGATTGGAAAGTGATAATTAGAATTCTCTGCTAAAATGAACAATTCCAAAGCTGATAGATATCGTTTTTTAATTTATTATTTTTATTTTATTTTATGGATTGCCTGCATGTAGGTAAGTGCACCTGTGTTGTGCAATGCCTGAGGAGGTCAGAAGAGGATGTTGGATCCCCTGGAACCCCCCTCCTCTTCCTCTTCCTCCTCCTCCTCCTCCTCTTTCTCTTCCTCCTCTATACTGGCAACCAAACCCAGGGCCTTATGCATGGTAGGTAAGTGCTCTACCACTTAGTTTTACTCCAAGTCTTAGCTATTCTATTTTTTATTTTTATTTTATTTTATTATGTGTATGAGTGTATTGCCTGCATGTATGTGAGTGTACCCGTGTCGTGCAATGCCGCGGAGGTCAGAAGAGGGCTTCGGATTCCCCTGGAACTGGAGTTAAGGACGGTTCGTAGCCGCCATGTAGGTGCTGGGAATCGAACCCGGGTCCTCTGCAAGAGCACTCAGTGCTCTTAACCAATGAGCCATCTCTCCAGCCCCATAGTTTTAAGACATGGTTTCCCTGTAGCTGCAGCTAGCCTGGAACTTGCTGTGTAGACCAGACTGACTTCCATCTCACTGAGATACACTTGCCTCTGCCTCCTGAGTGCTGGGATTAAAGACATTGGCCACCACACCTGGCCACAGACATATTTGATTCATCTCCGTCCATAGTTCCCAGCACGTGGATTGGGTGAATAGTTTAGGTCTCAACACCAGAACCACTGCCTGTGTTACCACTGTCATCAATATTATCAGCATAATCATAATTAATAAAAATTAGTGATGGCAGTTATTGTAATGATAGCAGAACCAGAAGTGAAATTGTAAAATGGTCAGCATCTATAATAATTAAAGACTTCTATTTGTATTGTTCCTTAAAGTTTATAGAATGTTTTTGAATGCTTCTTCATTCTGGTCCCCTTAAGTACATATTATCTTACTTTACAGACACAAGCCAGTTGTGGTGCCTTACATCTGTAATCCTTGCACTTAGGTGGCTGAAGAAAGAGACTCACAAATTCAAGATCAGCCTAGGTTACATAGGTATCAAGAGGAATTGTAGCTGGGCGTGTAGCCGCCATTAATCCCAGCACTTGGGAGGCAGAGGCAGGCAATTTTCATGAGTCTGAGGCCAGCCTGGTCTACGTAGTGAATTCCAGATGGGCCAGGCTGCATAGTGAGAACCTTGTCTCAAAAGAAAACAAAAACAAAAACAAAAAAATATAGTAAATATATATGATATATATTATATATCATATATGTATACACATACCAGTAGCATAGTTTATCATATCCAGTTTTATGAGCTGTACATAATTGTGCTGTACATTTGTATGACTGGCATCATAGTGGGTTTGTTTACTTCACAAGCATCTGAATAATGGGTTGTGCTGTGACACTGATGGCTAAGATGTCACTAGGCAATAGGAATTTTTCAGCAGCATTTTAATCTTATGGGACCATCATATATGTGGTCCATCATTAGCTTCCATGGTTATGTGCGGTACATGACCACTGTTATTCATTGTTTGCAGGATTCAAGGAATAAAGTACCACTATGCCCTGTTTGGTATGGTGGTACACTGTAATCCTAGCACTCAGGAGGCTGAGGCTGGAGGAAAGCAAGTTCGAGACCAGTCTGGACTACATATTGAGACCTTGTCTCAAAAAGCTGAAGATAAGGGCGAGGAATGATATATGATTTTTAATTGAGAAATAGTAGCTGTCATATATTGTGCTCATATTATGCAGTAGGCCTTGTAACAGCTACTTAAAGCCCTTTAATTTTTTTATGACTTTAACTCACTTTATAGATGAGAATCCTAAAGCGCAGAGAAGTTAAATAACATGCCTAAGAGCATGTAGTACTCTAGGCCAAACCCTTTGTTAAGCATTACAGCAATGCGACTCAGAGACAGGTGTAGTTCCATGAAGCAGGGTCCGAAGTTGGGACACAGATGTGTGCTGATACTGTGTAAAGAAGACAGTTGACCTAGTCTTTTGATTATGCTGTTGAAAGCCCAAGATTGGAGGGTAAGGGAGGCTTTTCTTCTAACTCACTGAGGCCACTTCCCCCTCTTAATTTAGTGACTAAATGAATCACTCACATGCTGTTGGAAGTTTGCCTCGCCATAGCTAGAAAGAGTACAACTTTACTTTTCATTGCCCTGAAAGCTACCTGAGAGATTGGTCTAAAGTGACCTTGTCAGTTTCCTATCAGAAGGTAGAGTGGCTCCATGTCTGTGGGATCAACACCATAGGAAGGTGACAAGCCTCCCAGGACCTAGACTCTGCTGTGCCTTGTAGCCCTATTTTCACTCGTAGTTTTTGCGTTCCACCGCAGCACAGTCATACTGTACTATGGAAAGCCTCCACAGCTCACTGTTTTCTGTTACCTGTAGGCTTTACACAGCCCATCCCTCTGTCCTGCTTTTTACCCTTCAACTAGCTAACACAGTCTTTATTCTTTATATTACAGTCCATCTGTTCATCTAACGAATACTTGGCGGGTGCCTTTCACAAACCAGACATGGATCTAGGTGAGAGGACAAAGCCCTTCCTGGAGCTTTTATTTTGTAGTATGGATTGAGTATGTATATTATACAAGACTTGAGAGAGTGAGGACTGGTGTGGAGAAACAAGTGGGAAAAGGGGAATAGAGGTGGCATGGGAGTTGTCGGGTAACATCCCACTGATTGGATGAGACTTGAAAACAGCTGAAGGAGGTGAGGGAAAGAGGGACGTTTGAACAGAACTGGAGGAGGTGAGGGAAGGAGTTATGTGGCAATCTAAAAAGAGATGTTCTAGGCAGAGCGTGTAGCTTGACTCTGTTATCACCCTTTCCAAAAGTCCTTTTCTGGGCCTTTGATCTCGACAGTTACCCCTTTTCTGATTTCATAACTTGCTCTTGTGTTCACCTTTAAAATAGCACTTATTACAGCATGTTTATCTGTATGCATGTCTGTTTCCTCACTTGGATCTGGGTTTCTTGAGATTAAGTATCTCCTCGATACCTGCTATAAGGGCCTGATATATGTAGGCATCCAGAAATGTTTATTGAATAAATGAAGAAGGCCTTACTGGCCTAGTTCTTATGGCTTGATATTTTTTTTTTTTTTACAAATTATTTGCAAGATAAACCTTGGATGACAGATAATGTGAAAGAAAAATAAAATCCCAAGCCTGTGTCTATGTGTAGAACATCTGGTGTCTTTGCAAAGAGCACTTGGAGTACTTGGAGGCTTCCACTGTCAGTGCTGTCAGACCAGCTAGCCCAGAAAATGGTGGCTAGACTATCACAAAGCCCTTTACAGCTGAATTTATAAGGAAGTAAGAGAAATCTCCAGGGGCCTGAATAAGACCAAACTAAAAACCAGAGTAGTTAGCCCCTTGACCTGCCTCAGCTGGTCTAGATGTTTCCTAGTCACACTTAAAAGTTTGCCCTTCAATGTGCTTGTTGTCATGATAGCCAAAGCCACAGGTCCCCCTGGGCTGGAACTGAACTGCTATGCAAAGCTGCATCCTGTGAGAATCTGTACCTTCTGTTGAATGTACTCCCTTACAGAGTGGACCAGGGGTGAAAAATCTTCCTCCTGGCATAGATGACAAAGAAGATTGCCCTTTTATGCTAGGCTACTGGATAGGGAGAAGGTTTCCCTAGGGAATTATCAACCGCAGATGTACACTCAAGTGGACTTGGGTTTATACTCATATTACCTGAATAAGAAACCCCAAGCCAAGGAATTGCCATTAAAAATCACCCCTGGCCAGGCGTGGTGGTACACACCTTTAATCCCAGCACTTGGGAGGCAGAGGCAGACAGATCTCTGTGAGTTCAAGGACAGCCTGGTCTACATAGTGAGTTCCAGGACAGCTGGGGCTACAGGGAGACCCTGTCTCAAAAAGACCAAAAAAAAAAAAAAGTCACCCCTGACTGATAGTGCACTGCCCCCAACCCCAGCACTGTGTAGAAGCAAGTGCATAGCCTGTCTGGAGAGAGGCGCACTTGACACATGCTGATTCCCACAGTCTGGAGAATAGATTTGTTGAATGACAGTGCATAGGACAGTGTTGCTTTTGAGACCATGGTGTTCCCTCCGTATGAAAAAATAGACATATGAGTACATCCATGTCTCCCTGTGTCCTCTAGCAATGGAATGACAGAGAACTTATGCAGGTCATCTTGGGAATGAATATATGTTGAACTGTTTCCTATCCTTACAGAAGTCATGGAAGATGTGGCCTCATGCTCCCTCAACACTACTCTGTTCCAGCAGGAAGACCAGACAGGGATCACCTACCGTATCCCAGCCCTGCTCTATATTCCCCAAACCCAAACCTTTCTGGCCTTTGCAGAGAAACGTTCCTCATGCAGAGATGAAGATGCTCTCCACTTGGTCCTCAGGCAAGGGTTGTTGACTGGATGCTCGGTACAGGTGATTCATCTTAGATCTGGGCCTGGGACTCATCTTCTCTCCTCAGAACTGAGTGCACTTCTAGCTCTGATCCTTTTCCCTTCATTTGCCAGCAAATCTCTGTGTGGGGACCAGAGGAGGAAAAAAAACCAAAAAACCCCCAATAAAAACAGTGGCTTTCACTGAGTACTTATTGTGTGCCAGGGATACATTAAATCTTCACAGCCATTCTGTGTCTTAGATACTGTTGACAGTCACATTGAGCACAGGAGGAAATTTGAGGCTCAAAAAGTTTGTCATTCATTGGAAGTCATGGAGCTATAATACAGCAGTAGAAGCAGACTTCAAATTCAGATTCAGACTCCAGAGGCCTCTATGGTTCATGCAGATCCAGCTAACATGAGACGTGCTTTTCCTTTTGTTCCCTGGTAAAATCACCCAGGGAAGGAAGCATTGTTAGCCCAGCTTTGCTAGTCAGGGATCCTGTTGCTTCTCAAGGTAACTGGTTTAAGATCACATTTAGTAAATAACAGAGTGGGGCAGATAACAGCAACAACCAGTTAATACTACTAAGTGCTTTTTATGAGATAATATTGTGATCCCATTTTATAAGAGGACTTGAACTGAGAATTAAAATGATTTGCTTTGGGTACACACCCAATAGACATGGAGTTGGAGCCTTTGCCCTAAGTAGCACAGCTTTGCTAGCTTGTTATTGGGGGAAAGAATGGTTATTGCTTGTGGGATTGGGAGCTACAGGGTGATTTCAGAACCCACATTTCTTTCTTTTTATGTATTTTATTTCTTTTATGTGTATGAATGTTTCCTGCATGTATGTGATTGCATCATGTGCTTGCAATGCCCATGGAGGCGAGAAGAGGGCATCATATTCCCTAGAACTGGAATCATGATGGTTATTAGCTGCCATGTAGGTGCTGGGGACCAAACCTTGGTCCTCTGCAGGAGCAGCCAATGCTCTTAACTCCTGAGCCATCTCTCCAGCCCTGGTACCTGTTTTTCTTCTTACTGCCCTCCTCTCAGATCTAGCTGAAATGATCAGATGAGACAGTGATTTGAGAGGCTTATAAATCATATATAACTCTATCTCTATCTCCTTAATGGGTGCTTTATCCCTTACCTGCCCTGGTTTTCTCCCGTCTCACCATCTAAACTTCATAGCCACAGCAGTGCTTTGCTCTGTTAGAGTGCTGATGTTACTCTTCTGAACCCTTTCTGTGCTTTGAATGACATTGCTTTTCCTATGAGGACTTTGTATTGTCAGGAATTTCCAGCCCCTGTTTTTCTTGCCTCATCAGATCTTCTTCATGGCTTCCCAGGACCAGACTCCACAGAAGCTCAGGCCTGTGACCCAACAGAACTTGGAGTTCCAGCTACTTCATTTTCTCTAGGACAGGCATTATCCATGTTCATGTGTTTCCTGGAATGGCCAGTGGGCTATTAAGCAGGGGTGTGTGTGTGTGTGTGTGTGTGTGTGTGTGTGTATGGTGTTGTTGTTGTTGTTGTTGTTTCTAACGTGTTGTATAACTTCATTGTCCAAAAGTCACACATTTTAATTTTATTTTCTCTTTATTGTATTTGCTTTCATTCTTTAATTTTAATTTACTTAATGGTAGAGTTTTGAAATTAGAAGAATATTTCTCAGTATAGCAATCTAGTAACTACTGAGAGCTTAGTGATTAGGAGCATAGCTATAGAGTCCGTCAGTCATCACATACCCCTGTTGGATTTGTGACCTTGGGTACTTGAATCTTCTGTTTCATCACCTATAGAAGGTAACTGATAATATAAACTATATAGTGATAACTCAACACTAGTCATTGTCCACAAAAGGTCTGTTTTCAGAATTCTCCAAATGAAGATCTTAATCCTTGGCAACTTATTCTCTGCTAAATGAGATGGTCTCGCTACTTGTATAACTGCATTGTTCGTGTTCTGCCATCTGGGGCATTCAATCTACACATAATATAAAGTCCCTTTTGCAGAAGTACCTAGAAATGGTTCATGTCCTTTGAGACCTCTGTGTTCAGTACTAAAGAGCTCTTTTGCTTCTTCTAGTGGCACAGTCCTGATTTGGTTTCTGGTCTCTTAATCGAACTGTGACCCTGGGATCTTATATGAGATGCCAGTGCTGTTTTTCAAACTGTGATACTTGGAAATGAATCTAAGGACTCAAAATGTACCATGCATGTCCAACATGGTACTTGCAAGCCCATGTGGCCAAGTCATGAATGTGGCCCAACATAAAACTTATTAAAAATATGAGATTTTTTGCAGTTGTTTTGTAACTTAGTTGCATGATTTTTGAGTATGAACTTTATAGATAACCACACTGTATCATGATGCCAAATGGACATGCCTGATAGACTGGCCAGTTCAGCAAGGAAGTGGGCCATCCTTTATCACAGCCTGAGGTAAAAATTGCACTTTCTTTTTAAAAAATTTTTATTTATTATTTTATTTTATGTGTATGTGTGTATTGCCTGCATGTAAGTAAGTGAACCCATGTCATGCAATGCCTGCGGAGATCAGAAGAGACTGTTGGATCCTCTGGGACTGGCGTTACGGACAGTTGTTAGCTGCTATGTGGGTGCTGGGATTCGAACCTGGGTCTTCTGCAAGAACAACCAGTGTTCTTAACCACTGAGTCATCTCTCCAGCCCCCAAACTGCACTTTCTTTAAGGCAGCTGTATAGCACAGTTGGCAAACATTTGGTAGATGGTCAGTTAAAAACCTCCAAGTCTTTACATTTGTTGTTCTTAAAAAATAATTAAACTTTTAAAATTGTGAAGTGGTTAAACAGAAAAGTATAACATAAGTGTCAAATGCACAAACGTGAATTTAGATCAGTAAATTATGAAAAAGCCACTGCTTATGAATTCACTATTTACCAAATTCATTGCCCATATTCCAAGAAACAGAATGTTGCCAGCACTGGAGAAACTTCTTTACGGACTCTCTCTCCCATTCACCTTCTGGGCCTTTCAGTTATGCCTCTGAGAATTAATAGGGACCCCTGAAGGGAAGGCAGACTTGAAATGCCCAGCTGCGTTCTCTGAATGAGCTTTTAGTTTTGGGGGCTGTAATTTATCATTGCCTTATTTACTCTCTTGTGCTTTCAAACAGATTTTTTTGGGGTCTTGTTTTAATATTTTATTTCTTCTCTAGTTGTAAATAGATGAGCTGGTCTGATTGCTTAGTTTGCCATTACTGGAAGTCTTTTTCCTCTACATTTCTGCAAAAAGGAGCAAGTCACATACACTGTTATATATTCTCTTTTTTTGTAATATTTTATTTTATTATTTTTATTTATTTATTTTATGTGTATGAGTGTATTGCCTGTATGTATGTGAGTGCCCCTGTGTTGTGCAATGCTGTGGAGGTCAGAAGAATGCTTCAGATTTTTCTGGAACTGGAGTTAAGGACAGTTCATAGCCACCATGTGGGTGCTGGGAATCGAACCTGGGTCCTCTGCAAGAGCAGTCAGTGCTCTTAATCGCTGAGCCATCTCACCAGCCCCAACTGTTATATATTCTACTTTGCTCATTTAACAATATTGTTTTCTTTTAAAAAATATTTTGTTTATTATTTTTATTTTATGTGTATGTGTGTATTGCCTGCATGTAGGTAAGTGCACCTGTGTT